TAGAAGATAATCTCGCTAAACGGACATCCGTATCAAGTAACAGTGAATCACTGATACCATCAAGTTGGAACCTAGGTATATTTAATGATAAATGAGAAAAAAACATCAGTAAATTATAACGAGATACTGTCCTTAGTCCTTAAAAATATGTCAAGTTCTCTCTTATTAGACTTCTTGAAAGTCTCTTGCACTAGATCAGAAGGCAGAGAACTCCAGCATCTGATTACTTTTAGCGAGTAGGTGTGCCTACGTCCGTTCTGCTATATTGTGTCTCCAGTTTCTGGGTGTCACCCCTGAGGTTTGTGTTGGGCTCAGCCTAAGTAGGCATTCAAGTAATGTCCAAAAGTGTTCATGATGTTGTAAGTCATTGGGAGGTCACCTCTATCTAAGACGCTCATACTCTGATGAGTAGAGGTTCAGTGAATTGAGATGCATGTAGCGGTAAATAAATCCCCAAAATAAATATCACTGTAAGTTTTCGACATTGGGTGCTGACCATATTAGTTTTAATGGACTCATCTAGCTGAAGGCGCTCGGTCAAGCATCCGCACCAGATCACGTGTGGGAACGCCGTGCTCAACATCTACTGCAATCGCTAGCCAGATTAGTTCAAACGATCCTCGATATATTGATAGCTTATCAAATATATCTTCGATCTCCTCGCTTCTGTATTTTGATTTCACTTGGTGGGTACGCTTCATATAGGAAAGTGTTACTGGTTAAAGCGTTGTCAAACTCCGGATACCTGTGGCATCTTCATTGATGAGCCAAATTGCAAACTGTGCGTCTGTTCCTTTTTGGGATTTTATACATCATTGTCTTATTTATTTTTTTCATACATTGCGGTATTTTTTCCGTGTTTTTGGATATATATATTTCTCATTCGTTCGTTCTCGTACCTAATATTTTACTATAACTGAACAGACACCTAAGGTACTTAATTTCAAGACTATGTCCCCACCCTCGTTACAACTAGTACCCTTCTGGCCAGAAAACATCGAAGCCTGGTTTTGCTACGCAGAAACCGACTTCTGTGGGCACGGCGTGAATTCAACAGGTACGTAGCGCCTAGTATGTTTACTTGTGATGTTTCTGAACCATACGAAACTCTTAAACGATCCATCCTTAAACGCGGAGATCTGACCGAATGGAAAAGGTTAGACCAACTCCTTAACAACATCCACCTGCAGCACGGTTCGGCCACAGACATGTTGAAAAGAATGAGAGAAGTTGTTGGCCAAAGAACCTTCGATGATGGCCTATTCAAACAGCTTTTCTTATCAAAACTTACTCAACAGGTGCAAGCTGTGTTGGTCTCGTTCCAAAACAACGCCGTAGACGATCTGGCTGCATCTGCCGACCACATTCTCGAAATCACTAGATCTTCTAACGCCGAGGTTTTTCAGTCAAAGAAAAGCCTCAAACGACCCAGAATGACACAACACAGTTATGTCATACACTTACGCGTTATCTTAAACTTCGAGACGACCGTAAACGGTCACACACCCCGCGAAGAAGCACTTCACGTAGACGATCTGTCTCTAGACCTCGAGAGACGGATAATCAAGACTGGCGCTGGTATCATAACCAGTATGGAAAGTAGTCCAGAAATCGCAGAAAACCCTGCAATTTTCCCAACTCAAAATCAGTTGACACGAAAAATGTTTCGGGAAACTTCCAACCATGATAAAAATGGGTTAAAACTAACGGAAAGTTTGTGCTTGGTCCAGTGATATTCAGTTGGTCCCACAAATTACCTTATAAGTTAAACGATATTGGAATCGAAGTGAACTTCCTTCAATGGGCAAGCGGTTATTTAGTAGGGCGATCATAAAGAGTTCTAGTTAAATCCAAATTACCGTTCTGAAAGTGTTTGGTGGAATCCTCTGCGGTTCACTGTGCAAGTTGGCAATGTTTATTTTGTATTTAAATAACGTAGAAAAGGCTTTAGAACCCTCTGACTGACACATAAAGCCACCAACCAGGTAGATATTAAGGCACTAGAGACCTTGTGTACAAATGTTGTCCTACCAAAACTGGAATGTTACACACAGATGCACTGAGCCTACAGGATAACTCATAAGACTGTTTTGTAAACTAGCTCCCCCTTCTGTACATAACCCGTGAATTTTAATTTTTAAATAAACGATCGGTGGTTTCCATTCCGTGTTTTCTCTGTGGTGTGAAGTGCTCGGTTAACATTGTGTGTGTTGTGGTTTTAGATCTTCCCGCCTTTCAGTGACTGCTGATTACACGTGTTACAAGTGGCGATGGAGGTGCCCATGAAAAAACGCGATGAAAACTATGAACCGCAGATGATCCCAGGAAGGGTAACAACCAGCACAACTCCTCGTCAGCCGCCACTGCTAGGGGTCTCATCAGACTATGACATCTGGAAAGTCAGAGTAAAGACACAGTCTAAGCGGACGGTGTCTGACTGTTCCTCCAACGAGTTGCCAACTTCACATTTTCGTGTAGTCCCAAATCCTCAATGAGGTTGAAGAACCGAGCTTCTGTTAAATTTTCATCTCCAATATACGTATGTTCCGCGAAGTTGACTCTAGGGAGATTGAAGTCCCCTAGAATCAGGATGAGTGAAGCCGAGAGGCGTAGAGTGGGATAGTCCTTCCAGCATACGACTGTCATACTCGATGTCGGCAGTGGGCTTCCTATATATGACTCCGACTAGGCACCTCGAAGTATTGGACAATGTCACAGAGCACCATATGGATTCCTCAAGATTGTTCAACTCGTGATTGTGAACTTGGTGTACCTCCAAGCAACATCGTATGTATATGGCTACTCCACCCCCAATTCCTGTTTTTTCTGTCGTTGCGAAACAGAGACATCCTAGGTATCGCTAGCTCCTGGTCCCAAAACTGAGATATCCATGTTTCAGATATTCCTATCAGGTGAACCTTATTAGCATTGCTGAGTTCGCTTAGTTCATCCATTTTGTTTGTTAGACTCGCTGCGTTCATGTACAAGCAGTTAATGCTTTCAATTTGAAACGCGTGAGCTTCTTCCTGTTTGTCTGTGTGAGCCTTACGTGAGTGGACAGGTAGCCTACCTATATAAGGTTTGCCGAATTGGTAGGCTCTGCCCTTTACACGTTTTTTTATCTTCAAGACAGTCCACAAGTGGAATGGTCAGCTCCAGCTTGCCTTTGTGCTTGATCCTGGTGTCATATGACCTGTCCGGATGTATGTGGACCTCAGTTGGCAACCGACGTCTGTTGGCACGAAATGCTTCCAGAGCTGCAGCCGCCATATGGGAGGATGGGAAAGTTATTCTCATTAGTCAGGGTCTAGAATCACCGTCCTTCTTGTCTGGTCTCGTCACATGCTGAGTCAGTATGTTTTTGAGCCTCAAGGACTGTTTGATGAATTTCTATTTCCGAATGTCAGAGTTTGCTTGACCAGGATCCGTGTTTTACGGCACACCTTGCAAAATGATATTTCTTCCGCGGAAAAACTAATCTCGAGATATTTTAGGGATGTTACGGATGAGATTGCGCTCAGAAAACGGTATGTCGGGCAGTATTCTGACGTTCCCATCGGATTTCAGTAAATGACTAGCTAGCAGGACGTCCTCTACTTCGATAGCATTGTTGAGTGTTACACGAAGTAGCCTCGGGTGATTATGATGCCTAGATTCCTTTCCCCGATTGAGCCGTGTGACCGTCAAAGGCTCTATTCTAGGAAGTTCAAGCTTTTTGTTCAGTTCACTCCAGAGCATCCTGTCGTTTTTGTCCTGCAAACTGAGAGGAAGGTCATGAATGTCAATGAGGTTCATGATTATGAGAGAGTCATCACGGACCGTTGTTGCTTTCCCAGGTTTCCCGGTGCGTTCAGGTTCAGCGCGTTGTTGTTTGGAGGTCAAAGCAGGTTCTCGAGTCGTAGGTTTTTTGATAACCGGGCGGACGTTTTCGGGGGTAGACTGAGCGATCAAAGTACCAGTTGTTGTCCGTACAACACTTGGGATGTCAACCTTAGACGGTGACACCTGGTCCTTATTCGCTCAGTTGACGTGGGTGCAGTCACCTGCAGAGTTTTTAGGAACCACTGTTGCGTTTAAGGACCCTGAGCTGGGAGATCCAAGTTTAGTGAGGGAGTCAATTACTGTCGACGTAATGATGGTGCTGAGTTTCAACGTTTCATCATAAGTGCTAATGCTTGTTCCATCGATGGTTGACTTATCAACATCCCTATTCTTATTTTCGTTACGCGCCCCTGTTTGTCTACCTACTTTATGGCTATCTGTTTCCAAGTTTACTGACCTGTCAGTAGAACAATGATGTTGCTCAGCAGTACTACAGCATCCGTGTTGCACGTAACACACACCCAATTACGGTCCGAGTTGCTGAGTCTCTTGTAAGCAGTTGCCGTAAGATCTGTGCACGTTTCGTGGAGCCACCCTTTGCAGTTGTCGCATTGCATGCCAGATGTAACAGCGAAACGGCATCCAGGTCGTTTGCATGAATTTTTCATGGCTGTATTGGCGTAAACTGTATTAGAGATAGTATCAAAGCTTAAGACCGTTAAAAATACACTAAAAACGGGAAAAAGGTATAAAAACGGATGAGATAAAATGAACTAGCCTTTGCGTGAAAAACTGAAAAAAAACCGAATAGTAAGCTGAGGCAAAACCACAGTTAACTATTAAATTGGGCGAAACTCAAAAAAAGTAATCTACCGAACTTATAGCTCAGAATAGATTTTTTAACATCAGAAATGGTACTTTTGTTGCGTAAGAACACAGCAAAAGTTTGAGAAATGCAAACCCCGTCGGGACTAAACTTCCCGTTCGAAAAGCGCGCTGGAGTCCTCTGCCTTCTGATCTAGTGCAAGAGACTTTCAAGAAGTCTAATGAGAGAGAACTTGACATATTCTTAAGGACTAAGGACAGTATCTCGTTATAATTTACTGATGTTTTTTACGTTCATCATTAAATATACCTAGGTTCCAACTTGATGGTATCAGTGATTCACTGTTACTAGACACGGACTTCCGTTAAGCGAAAGCTTTTCCTATTCTTTCCACAACCATTTGATCAGTTTTAATTTTTACTGGTTGGGATTGTCGAGTTTTAAAATCACCAACCGTTTCAAGAAGCTTGACATAAGTCATACATATTAAAACACCTCATCTGTTAACTAACACTGAATGTATTTCCACTTGTTTTTATTTCAACGTCCCTATCTGATCAAATCGTTATTTTTTATTTTAGATACAGTACTCGTCAAGACAAACCTCAGCTATTTGTTTAATCTAGTCAACACGGTACATCAAGGAGACACGTAAATAAATAAACGTTTTAACTTGTAAGATGGTAAGGCTCCAGTCATGTTTAGTATAAAATTGTCTAGCCCACCTCATCCTCTGCGTCATCAAAGTCTGCCACTGCATCACCGAGAGGATCAGCCGGAGGTGCTCGACAGAGAAAGGTTAGTTCATTAATTATTAGGTGCTATGGTATTCATTACACATTTGTTAAACTTTTGTGTACTCTCAACTCAAATATATTAGGTACCTGTAAATTCAAACTTCAATGCATATAAAACAATATCGTGATTTGGTACTTCTGAAGTACAGGATCTCTTTCAACAAAAAGCCGAAATCCTCGGTATCTCCTATAAGAATTTTGTTGACTTAGTTCCAGTTAAAACCAGCTTGTTTTGTGTTTGTTTCAGCTTTATTTTCAAACTCTTGGGTGTAACTCATGGGAAAACTACCAATATATCGAAACAGATTGTATTCAATCGCGCCGGGAAGCACATTTTTCAAATGAAAAGTTAAATCCAGTTTAATTCTATAAAGCATAACGTACATAAGTACAGCTAAATGTATTACAGATAAGATTGAAGCTGTGCAATATGCGTATATAGGTTCATTTGTGAATATAAAGTAGAAGGAATTCATAAACCATTCACATACAAATTGGACATAACCCTTCAATGATAAATTTCTAGACGAGATATTTCATTTCTGTTAGTTGCGAAAAAAGGTTTACGTGGCTCTTCGTTTATTGCTTTCAGTGGTTCCCTGTTAAATGTGGTTGTAATTATCTAAGTTTTCTGGCCATTTAACCCTTATTAATTCCTAAATACCATTCTATCGACTGTACGCAGAGATCCAGACGCTATTTCGACCTAAATCATAGTTTATATCCAAAAGTTTTAACATTTTGCACCGTAGATGGTTATTTTCCTTTTTTAAAACATGCATGAAAATCTTATTCCGGTCATTTCTGTTATATCAGATCAATAAACCAGTGCACAGTTTTGGTTATTACCCAGTCAGCTTTTGCAGACGTCAAATCAAATAATCTGATCAATATTCGCTGGTAAACATTTCAATCAGACGACTCAATAGAGACATTCCCCATATTTCAATGATTACATAAAGCGCATAAATCATTAAAACAAAATGCATAAACCTCAATTAGTGATGATTGCGTTCTCGTTGTTACATTTATTGGAAACTGACAATAGTGGGATTTCTTGGTATGGGTTTTCTCTCTTAGTGAGATCATAGTTTGACAATTTCTTAAGCATATCTAACTACCGTTTGCTTCAACCTACGATGCTGGCTAACAGAGCAATAAGTTAGAGGAAGACTAGGGTTGACTAAACTAAGGCAGTTTACTAAGTTATTGACCGTTAGTCTGACCGTCGTTAGTAGGTGCATATGTGCTAGTTAAATGTTATCAACTAGTCATATCCTATGGTCGGAGTACAGTGGGTTCTTAACAGTTAAAATGCGATTTAATTCTACATGGATATTAAAACTATTTCTGCACTCGCTAATATTGGCGAGGCTTTAAAAATAATCAAAGTATTCCTTCACTGTTCTCTTAATATCACCAGCTGAGAAAATGGACTATCAATTTATGACAGACCACGGCGAAATGGAAGGTAATTGTGTTGAGTTGATATCTGTCAAATGACCTTAGTTGTTTAGATGATATGGAAATCGTCAGTCATTGGCTTACGACATCAGAGATGGCTCGAATCAAGAGCTAGTACCGTTCTTGTCAGTCTTCTTTTGCATTTATTCATAGGTAGTAAGATGTAATCTTAACTTTATAATTGCTATCTATCTACCATACAGAACTCGGCTTTTTGGCTCAATTGGAAATCGTGGTAGCAGATTATTTTATTTAGATAAATTCATCTCGTCTGTTCGTGAAAACTAGTTTCTTCCACTGGTTATGTCAGTGCTTAGAACTCTGTATGACGTTTTGTAGGTGAATGGCTTTCGAAATCTTGATGAGTGCTTCTAATTGAACTCGACATATTCTGTGATTCATCTTTCGTTTACGCTGCAATTATTTTTGATAGCTAACTGTATATGGATTAGCATACCTATAATATGTGTCAAGTACTTCACAATATCTGCTTCATATCCAACACTTATAATGTCGATAAGTGATTTTTATAAACTATCTGTGCTGAAAAACTTTAGTAGATTGCTCACTTCAGTTGACTGTTTTGCTCTGCCAATAATCTATCTCTTTGTTACCGTTTATAAACACAGTTTATTATCTTGGAGGAAACTTTCCTGTTTAACTGACTTACTTTCTCTTGTAACCTACATAAGCTTACATGTGTGCTTGTGGGACATACGCTGCATGTGTTACAGTCGCGTTTATATTTAGCTCGATTCGATGAATGTTTGACATGTGTATTCTTATTGTTTTTATGATTCCTGATAACATAAATCTTTTACAATGAATCAGTTTAATTGAATTTACGTAGCTGTATATCAGATAGTGTTGCCTAAATATTATGTCGAATCTGAATGCTGTTTTCTTTCACCATTAGCTTACAGACACTTTATGTTTGTTTCGAATCACTAAAGCAACCATATCTCATAGAGTGTAATTGCGTTGGTATTCATCATCAACAAATATTAAAGCACCTCTGTTTAATTTATTTCAAGGGCAAAAACATAGATCATATGATTAATTCATTAAGACTACTGTCTTGTATAAATCTGTGTTTATCGTTACGGGCCCTTTTCCAAGCTCTAATATTGCTGTTAAATAAGATCTTTGATTATCAATCAATCATAATCAACATATAGAGCTTTTTAACTAAACCATTTTATTTAGATAACCAAACCCATTCACCCAAGCTACAAAGCCTCTTCAGCATTTCATAGTCTAATTATTTGTAGGAATTTAGTAATTTGTAAAAGAAATGGGTACTGAAATTGTGCCACAGAAACGAGACAACTTATACACTTCTTGACCAAGTAACCTATCTTAAAGCATTTTTAATTGCCAAAATTATTTTATTAATAAATTTTTTGAAACGATTGTACTTTGATGGAAGCTTTTGGTTTTCTGCCGTAACAACGGTAGGACAAGCCATAGCGCTCGTGTTTTTTTGCGGTGGCACTTAAGGCAGATACGTTTAATAGAATTACAAGCGATAGGTCAACAATGGTTAAGAATGATTAATTATGTTCCATAAAATATTTGTTGTTTGTTTCGTAAAGGAGATTAAGATTGCCCTCGAAAAACTTGGATCTTGTTAGTTAACAGAAGTAGAATATATACCAGTTTACATTGTCGTTTTCCCAAATGTATTCATTTTCAAAAATCTACTTGTAATGCGTACGATGTATTCTATTTTCAGGCACCGGCTTCTTCAGCTAGACGACCAGTTGCTCCAACTGCACAGAAAAACCCCGTTTTCCTATTTTATTCAGAAGATTCTCCCGGAATCAAAGTTGGACCCGTACCAGTACTAGTTATGAGTCTGTGTTTCATAGTTTCTGTATTTCTTTTGCACTTCTGGGGTAAATATACCCGCAGTGCTTGAAATATTTACTCTATTACTTATTTTGTAATAACTTGGTGAATGAGGTGCGGTACTTATTTAATAAAGTCGATTGAATAACCATACTATCAAGTACTGTTTTGAATAATTCCTTCAAACCAGCCTAGGTCTTCACGCATCTTCCAGTACGTAAATCAAAGTCTATTTCCACTGGAAATATCATACAATCTACTCTAGTTGTCTGGGTATCTTCTGTTTTATATTTATTCCTAATGGTTTTACTACCAGTTTGCTTTGTATACTGGTATATAGGAAACAACAAACCGCTTTGTAACCCATAGTTGTATCCAAGTTGTTTCATTAATAAATTCCAAACTAGTTAGGTTTTGTCACTTCCACCACTATTATGAAACTTCAAAGCTTCTGACGACCCAAATACACTACGTAAATTATGCCTAGCCGCAAATGTATGGACTACGACAGAATTAGTAAAGTTTGCGTGCGGTCATATTCTAAATGGCCGATTTGCTACCTTCATTAGCGATTAAATACGGAACACCTGACTGTAATATCTGGTTAAGCCTTGAGCTTCAAACCGTTCTATACAATACATCGGGACTTCCGTCTGTGTTGCCGGTCTTTATTCTGTGATTATGGATGATGTACCTTACAAATCATTCCATCCCATATTACGACTTACCTATGGTTTATGTTTGCTCCTATTTTCAAATGTAGTCTGGTTACATTCTTATCTGACATTTCTTACAGGGAGAATTAGTATGCAGTCTAATCGTCTTCTTTTACACTACAGGAGTTCAGCATTAGGTACTAGTTTTGAAAATAGTCAGCATTACTGGTAAATAACTTGTTTTTAGTGGCTTAGTACGTACTGTTTATCATTGTGTGGATGCTATTAAATCAAAACGGTTTAATATATGCACTGAGACAACCTTGACTTACACAAATTAATACACCTGAAGCTTACTATAAATGGTTTCATATATGATATTCATGCTTATCAGAATGCCTCACATACCAAAATTGACATGTTTAGGTACCCGACGCCTTTTGAGCTCCCTTTTTACTTTTACTCAAACACCGTCCACTACAATATATTTCATTGAATGCGTAGTAAGTGCTGAGTTAAGGTTAGTCTTAATTTGAATCACTTCGTATGCGGCCCTTAGAAGTTTATTTCCGCGTACTTACAAATGTTTTTGACCAACAAGAACTGCTGTTAGTTGGAATCGCTTTAATACTAAGTACCACTTATCGAATTTACATATCCCAGAGTGGCTTCAGCAAACAAATACCACCCCATTCACTTACATATGCGCAGGACCTTAACGTGGTCCTCAAAACCCTGGATTTAAGCTTGGTTAGGGACTCGTTAAACTGCATTCCGAGGTAAGCACTAACTTGGAATCTTGAAGGGGAAAGGAAAGGAGAGAGACCAATGAACACATAGTGTCGGTGATTAAAGGCACAACAAAAATTAATAGCAGTTAAAAATAACTGAGGACTGCTCAGCACACAGTTATATGGAGAATCTTGGTTGGCGGCCTATGCTACTCCACAAGGAGTAACAGGCGTAATCAAGTAGTTACCGTAACCATCATTGCGTATATGCAAAGACTCACCTTGTACCTTAATATGACTTCTAATAGAAACTGTTGTGGTATATAATAGATCCATGAAGTTTCACAATCGCATTCCGCATTTCCAATTAAGACAATATAAGTACGTCCTAAAATGACATAACACAACAGTCAGCTCCGAAATATGTACCTAGGTAGAGAGCTACAGAGTTATCAAGAATTGGTTTATTTCTAATCCAATTAAAGATACTAAACAAGGTTGAATATTAGTATGCCATGATACTCATTATTTACGTAAGACAGGATCCAAAGACGTAGATGTTGAAGAAATGGCTGACGTCTCAGTTCAGCATACCAAGTTTCGACACACGCTACAGTTGCACGTAACCTAAGTGCATCTAATTATTTTAGGAAGTTTCTTGCCATATTAACTGTAATATAACAGTTCTATAGTAAATAGGTAGCTTATAGTGGTCAGCAGATTCTGCATTTTGTCAGCATCTTCACCAAATAGAACTATGTCATAGGCATATTCTAAGTCAACAAGTGAATCCCCCGGCAGAAGTTCAACACCTGGAAATTTAGATGAGGAAAGTGTTATCTTTAAAAGCACGTTAATGCCAAAGTTAAACAAGAATGGAGACAGTGGACAGCCTTGATGTAATCAGTTCTGATGACAGTTCGCCATAAGCTCTCACTCGGCCAGTCTTGTTCGAGAAGAGATCCTGTATAAGGTTTACGCACTTCTTTCCGTGACAAACACTGCCACAGAACCTTACGATCAACAGAGTCAAATGCCGCCGAGAAAGTGACTAAAACTATAATCTACAAACCTAATGATTTACTTTGCACGACAGTGCGTAGAACATACACAGGCCCACATACCAGCTGGTTTTTTTATCTGAAAACTATTTGACATGTCTCCCTATTTACGAGTCTACGAATTAAATGTTGTCATCAATCTTTTATTATGATCAGATACATATAGCTGACGGAATAAACCCGCAAAGAATGCATGGTGACAATTTCCAGAATATATGCCTACTATTGCAGAAATCGTAAACCGGTGTACTGCATGTGTAGTATTTTATGAGATAACTTGACTATTTGAGAAGTATAGTATGGACTAGGGTGGGGAACTTCTAGAGCATGTTTACTCACAATTTAGAGCAAGATCTCTTTACAACGTCACTAGACTTTGATTTACATCAGGTCTTATGTGCCTGAGGTTTTCCAGAGCCAATCAAACTGGAGCAACACCGAAGCGTTTAAGCTATTATAGCATCGAAGAACTAAAAGGTCTCAATTGCTGTCTCTCGGTTCTTATAACTTACACCAGTTTCGCAGGACGTTATTAGGTTTCCATTTTAGTAGGCTGCAATCACTACCGTTTGTAAAATCGCTGCAGCGTCCTATCGCGAAACGAAGCATAACGGGCACGACAGTGGATCCGAATAAATCACTTCACAGGGATCTGACTAGCAACTTGGTTCTTGTCGAGAAGCGGACTCCATCTCAGATATGGATATCAAACCAATATATTAGTACAATCCCAGAACTCCGGGGTTTACCATGCAAAGAGCGGCTTGAAAAGCTGGACCTCTTTACTCTGTCCTATCGCAGACTAAGGGGAGATCTAATTTTGATGTGCAAAATACTGAGAAATGATTTCGGACCTTAAATATTTTCTTTTTCTTCCCACTAGATGAGGACATCTCAGAAGATATAGCACGCGAGTAGAAAAGCCAAGAACGAACAAAATACCCGTTCCATACCGGTTCTTACACTGAGTCATCGGTACTTGGAACCTGTTACCCGAAGCAGTGATGTCTGCATCTTCAATTGACCCATTCAAGAGAAAACAACACAGAAGCATGCTAGGAAAGGAATAACACAGGCCTTCTCTCCTTACTATACAGATCTGCATTTGTACTTAGTATTGGGGCAAATGCTTATATTTCACAAACTAACTGAATGTGTATTATTGTGTACATACACCTCAGTCTTCAGTAACAAGTTGATGGACCTGTGCTTATCCTGAAGGTCCAGCTTCCCCTTGAAAATAGTCACTGATTGGTCTGACACCACCTGTCCGGGTAAGGCGTTCCAGTCATTGCTTACCCGATGAGGAAAACGGGACCCTCTTCTAAGTTTATTGGATCGCAGTTTATGAGCCTTCTTGCTATGACCTCAGATTATTAGTGTTGGAGGGAGCGAAACGATAAGACATATTAACACCCAAATCACAATAAACCAGACGAAATGCCAGTATAAGGTCTTACGCGTCCTACGATACGACAAGAGGAAAAGGTTTTAGCGTTCATCGTAAGACAGTTTAGAAAGGCCTTTCACTAAATTTGTTCCCACATGCTCAAGTGAGTTAGTATCGGTTATTAGCCATGGGCCAGCTGCTTGGATACAGTACTCTAAGTGTGGTCTTACATAGGTGGGATACAAAAATCCGAAGCATATCATCAAAGCATTCGAATGCTCAGCAAAGTGACCATAACGCACAAAACACTTTCACAGCAGCTGCGTCGCAATGCATATTTGTTTCCAAGTTGTGACTGATTATTACTCAAATCTTTATGTTCCTGAACGCATAGAAAAGATGTACTGTCTGTAGTATATCGGTAACTTACCGTGTCCGATGGGCATGAGTACACTATTCCTACAATTAACTTCTAAACCCCCACCTCGAGCCCGTAACTAATTCAGCTTAGAGATCAAAATGATCAGCCTCACTTCTTAGTTTTCCAGATTTCGACATCATCAGCAATCAATAATGTCGACGGCTTAAGCAATAGTGGCAATTCATTAACGTAGAGAAAGAAAAGTAAAGGGCCTAAGTTGATGCCTTGGGGTACATCACTTTTGACTGGCCCCCATTTGGATAGCATTCCATTGACCCTCATTCTGTTTGCGGTCACATAAGAAGTTTCTTATCCATTCCTGTACAGCACCTGTTATTCCGAAGCTCGAGAGCTTCTGCATAAGACTTAAGTGTGAAACCTTGTCAAATGTTTTGCTAAAGTCTATGAATGTCACATCGAGACAGACCGTTATCTAGGGCTGCTGTCCAATCCTCCCTTGCAATGCTAGTCAAGCATGAACGCTTGTTACAAAACCCATGTTGCTCGGAAGTTAACAGATTGTGCGAATCTATGTAACTTATTAACCTAACCCGAATAACAATTATGCTGGTTAGACTGACAGGCCGGAAGTTAGTCACGATCTATCTGTGACCATCCTTAAACATAGGACTGATTATAGCGTCTTTCCAATCAGTAGGGAGTTGAGCGAGTGAAAGGGACATGCTGTAAGTTAAGAGAATGATTTCCACTACCCTTCAGCAAAAAAAACAAGGAGAATATATAACACACTTAATAATTGATTGCTTTTTCATAAATTGTTAATAAAACGATTTGGAATGGGAAATAACCCTACTCTTAATGTACAGCACTATATAATACATGGAATATTCCATGAGTGATATCACTCATTTCTATGAATTTGTATTCAAGCATTCCTGCAATAGGCACTTCGCCTGTTTGTATTCTTCTGTGTCTCTGAATTCTTCTTCACACTCCTACAGATAATTTGAAACCACTTTACATACGTACTTCAGTAGCACTTTCCAGTTCCTTAACAGCTTTGGCAAGTCTGAATTGGCAGTCTGGAATCATCATTTTGGATTCGTCTAAAATTGCTCTCTTTTTCTCAAGTTATTGTACGCAAAACTCATACCGCCATTTTAATATCATGCTCATCAGCTTGTGCAGCAACCTTATTATTATAAATCTCCGTATATTTAACAACTTCTTCTTCGTACCTAGACTTTTCCTTCTGAATCCTGAACAAGTAAAAGTAAAACGTAACACATTTACCGTTTGACTACATTAGTGTTGATATTTAATGTCCGAAGCCGCTTATCTGTCATAACCGTTCAGGACAGAAAAATTCAAACTGGATTAGATTGTCCGCGCGCAATTAAAAAGGACAGATAAATTTTTACTCGCTAAGTGAATTCTATTGTATTGATCATTTATTATGTATCAAGACTACTGTTTATACCTTAATTGAATTTATTTTATTTAAACTACCCGATAAAAGTATCACTTTTGTTTCTAATTTAGTTTAGCGTCGGTACTTACAAGCAATTTGTTTTCTATTGCATTTGTTAGTACTTTCGGTCCTAACAATTTACAGTTTTCCACCTTTTTTGATCATAGATCACTTTTGTCTCCGGGTACTATTGTATCTAGCTTTTTTGGAAAACCTCTGTTCAGTGACTGGGCAGTGCAAGAAAAGCAATTACTACGTCCGAGCCGTTGATATCCCATTGAAAGCGACATGTAGTGTGACGAGTGTAACTGCTAGTGCCACGAAAATTGCACGAATTTGACGTCTGCGGCTTTAAAACTGTTTAGTGAAAACGGTTGAGTACGGCTTTGTCAGCAGCACAGTTCGGACGCAAACAGCTTGCTAACCGATGCCATCTCAATGATAAAGAAATGTTTTGGCAAGCGTGGTTGGGACATATCGGACAGCACTCACTCTACCAACACACAAATTGGTTTGAAGCCACCTGAAGTGAAGTCGGAAACAACTGACTCACATCGATCAAAGGAGGAATGACCGTTTTCAAAGTGGCATGTCTTAATTAAAAACTCAAGAAGGGAAGTTTCCTCTGTCCTCCGTCCTCTAGATGGTGTCCAGCACGATACACCTAGGGACCACAATCGCAAGACTCCATTGGTTTCTAGAGGTAAATACAACCTGACTTCTCAAGTCATCTATAACCTCCGGGATCCCTCAGTATGTTTGACACGACTGTGGTTGCTACTCCAACCATAGTTGACGAGTGAGTGAAGGTCGTAAGCAGGAAACGACGTAATAATATAACATAAAATCTTACCCTCTTTGAAAAAAGTAGTCAAGAAACGGAAAACTGATCAGTCACAGGTCAGTTATTTTTCATAGAACCAAGGAGAGTGAAAGCTTTGAACCTAAAACTCGTTTCGAGCATGACATTGGGCGCTAGTGAAAAAGACCTAAAAATTGTAAATTTTCGAGTTGTGATGTTTCGACAGAACGATTTCGAAGCCACTCTGGGTGCAGCACGAAGCCATTCAAATAGGCTTCGGATCTGATACACTAATGCCCGAAGCTTGCTCAATAAGCGGTCTGAACTATGTGTACAGATTTACTCTGACGTTACGAACCTTCATTACATGCCACCCTTAGGTAAAAGTGATCATTAAGTCCTAAACTTTGACTTCCATATAATTGTAAAAAACGAGCACTCATCAGCTCAATCCAGACCTAACGACTGGAAAGCAAATATACAAGATATTATACACCCAGCATAGTCGGTAGATTTAACAATAGAGCCAGTGTCCTCAGTCAAAACGGCTTGGAAAGTATTTCGAAATTCATACTTAGACGTTGTTGCACCTCACATCCCTTGGAATAAACCAAGGGAGCCGAGAAACTCTGCACCATGGTTCAGTAGGGATTTTCACATCCTTATCCGTAAGAAGAAAAATGTGGGATAGATTTAGGTTACTGGGGACTGATGAGACAAAATTTCATTATCGAAACGCTCGAATACCTGCGCCTTGACCCTCCGTACTGGTACATAAACCAAAGGACTAAGAAAAGACGAGATATCTCAAAAGTACTGGAAAACACTAATAGTGCTTCATTAGTAGAGGCACATTATGATAAACCTCAGGTATTCTCAAAGCGCTTTAACAATGTATATTTCGTGGAGATGCCTTCCCATTTAGTTCATGTAACCCTCACACACACACACACTCTAGACTGTGTTGTAGTGATTGTTATCATGTCAAGCCCATATAACCTATTCTGGCTTTCGGACAGCCCATTCCATTCACTCTACTTGAGTTACATTCTAACCTTGTTAGTTATTGGCTTATCAATCTTCGCTGTTTTTATGTTAGCGCGTAGGTGTGTGTACACTTCTTATCCCATTACTCGCCATATGTCTGTAACTTATATTTGTGTAACCATAAATATTGATAAACGTTTGGTTAAATGGGAGTTGGCTTAACCGCCATCTCTATTGAGCGTTGTTTCGCTTCTCTCCATTCTGTTCGCTCCTTATACAAAATGTATGTATTCAAAAGTTCATTCTCGTTATTTGACTTATTTAGTTCCGTTATTGACTAACGCGATTTAGGTCGATGATTATATACGAGGATAGGTGACATATATATTTCGACAACGATCATTCATGCGATCTACTTGGAGTCAGATCTTGAGCTACTAGAGTGGAGAGCCCTCCGGCAACATTGTCCGATCTAAATGACGACAAAATAAAGGGCCCTACAGTGTGAACTTTGAAGAACTCGATGGCTTTGGTCTGTTAACTGAGCCTAATCCATGGAGTCTGATGAAATGCATCCTAGGCTTCTAAGGCTTGACAAACTTCGTCGTGAACTCCTTATACATATGCTTTAATCTATCCGTAATCCAGGGTCATTTAACAAGAGACTGTAAGGATGCCATAGTAATTCCTGTCTTCAAAACAGATGCGAAACACAATCCTGAGAATTACCAACCCCTTACCCTAACTAGTGTGGTTGTTAAAATTTTAGAAAAGATCATTCGGAGGAAACCATTTAAGTATCTCGAAGAAAACGGGATCCTTTCGGAAAAGCAGCATTGTTTCAGAATATGTTATTCCTGTCTCACTAACTTATTGGTGGCTTATGAAAGCTGGTGCGCTCTTAAGGACCAAAAGTTACCTGTAGGCGCGGCCTACATTGACTTCAGCGAAGCTTTTGGGAAAGTTCCGCACAACCGGTTTTTACATAAGTTAAGAAATTTCGGGGTTGGAGGCCGTTTACTGATGCGAATAACAGACTTCCTAGTTGGGCGTCAACAGAGAGTACGGGTAAACTCAAAGCTGTCTAGCCAGGAAACTGTGCTTGGTAGAGTGCCCCAGGGTACAATTTGAGGGCCAGTGCTATTCCTCTTGTATGTAAATGATATTCCTCACCCGATATCATCATCGGTCTTGCTATATGCTGACGATGTCAAGATATGGAGAGCAATACGAAGTAAGGGTGATAGCTTAGAACTCCAGAATAACCCGGAAAAACTATCTGAATGGTCTGAAACTTGGCAGTTGCCGATAAATACTTGTGAGCGCACTGTGATGAATATTGGTCATCAAGGTGCGAATAGGTACACGATTAATAAAATTGAGCCATCTGTTGTCCAGACACTAGATGACTTGAAAGTTATCCCTAGCCTAGAATTAAAAACTACTGCACACCGCCTTGCAATGGCCGCCAGAGGTTTTCGAACTGTATGGTCAATAAGTAGGGCCTTTAGTCATGTGGACGCTAAAACGTTTTTGACTTTGTAACTAGAGTTCGTACGTCCTAGAATTGAGTACTGCATACAAGCGGCTAGCCCCTGTTTAAAAAAGACTGAGCTTTTGGATAAGCTCCAGAGAACAACAACTTCTCTGGTTCCCGGAATAGCGAAGCTCCCATATGATACTCAACTAGCTAAACTAAGCCTATTTCCGTTGTCGCATCGAAGATCTAAAGGTGACTTGATTACAGTTTTAAAATCGCTTAGTGATAAATTTACACTTCATATACCCTCATTCTTCTTGTCTGCCGAAATAGAGAATTTATGCGGACACTCCAAAAATGTTCACAAGCTCAGAACAAATTACTTGTCGGCTGACCATAGACTTTCCCATCGAAACATCAACAAGCGGAACTCATTACCTCAGTGAGTGGTTGAGGCTTCATTCGTCAACCCTTTCAAAAGAAAGTTGAATCAACTAAGAGACGACCATTGATAGGATCAACACAGGCCATCAAGCCTCCTGTCCTCTCCAAACTGAAACCGAAATCAACTACGCTCACCAAAGACCTTGGTACACAAAATGTAGGCGGATTCAAGATTACAAACACTAAATTTGCCCGGGCGTCCTTGTAATCAGAGCTTTAGTAGCGACATGGGTCTTAAGACAATAAAGAATCATAACCCTCCCTTTGATCTTTAGACATAATAATATCATTTAGCAGAGAAGAATACCTTAGATCATCATATTCATTTCTGCCACATTAGAGAAGAACGTGAGAAGAACTAACTGTTGATTAATTATCTTCGTGGAAAATGTTTCTAAAATTTTGGCCACACTAAGATCATTCGTCTTGAGATAAATAAAAGCGATCGGAAAAACTGATCAAGTCAATCTATCTTCGACTATGTCTACAATCAGAATTGTTGATGTTAACACCTAGATTCAAATGGTTCTTGATAAAATAGAAAAAGCTTTCGCTTAACAGGCTTCCGTACATATTAACAGTAGATCAACTGTAGAATTACGGTCTACTATGATATTAGCACTGCTCTAATAATAGTCCTAATCCTAAAATTGTAGATTTATCATGATGTAACTGCCTAATCTATAAGATCTTACGTGGAAGTTACATCATCGTCTACACCAATTCATTGCATTGTAACAATTACCAATACGTGATAGAGAACGAGCTTAGGCTAGAGATAGAATATATTTAATATGAATAGAAGATACAAGAATACATTCAGCTGGGACCACGCCTGCAAGGCCGAACCACGCCATCCGATCAAATCGGACTAATTCAATTCATACTCCCCGCCTTCTCCATTCTTCTGTATTCCTCCGCGTTAAATGTTTAATGTCTATTTATCATATTGTCTCGTGGTAGGGCCCAATGCCACTTCACTACTCTCCCACCAGAATCAACGATATGTTGGTTCGACACCAAACTGTGTGGGATTGTCGCTCGCCGGAGGTTAGCAAGAATGATAAGAATCATCCGGGTATTGATGAACTGAAAGATAAATCAAAAAGAAGGCGGCAGCATCTGGTCGGGAAACACATATAATAATTTTAAAGTGTCTGACTTAATGCTTAACACGCTTTAAATGAAAATTCGGGCGGAGATTATTTGAGCTAAACAAAGCGGGATTATAATTACAATGAAATGATATTTTAATA